CCGACTGCATCTCTGGAGCTCAGCCACAGTCATCTTTGGGTTCTTCTGTACCTCTCTCACCAAGGCTCTTCTCCCCCGATAGCTCAGTTTGGCTGGATGGCCAGCTCTAGGAAGGGTTCTGGTCATCCCAAACATCTTCCATTTAAGGATTATGGAGGCTTCCTCCATAATCTCATTTGCTCTGACATGCACTGTGAGCTGTAGGGTCTTATATAGACAGGTGTGTGGCTTTCCTAATCACGTCCAATCAGTATAATCAAACACAGCTGGACTCAAATGAAGGTGTAGAACCATCTCAGGGATGATCAGAAGAAATGGACAGCACCTAAGTTAAATATATGAGTGTCACAGCAAAGGGTCTGAATACTTATGACCATGTGATATTTCAGTTTTTCTTTTTTAATAAATCTACAAAAATGTCAAAAATTCTGTGTTTTTCTGTCAATATGGGGTGCTGTGTGTACATTAATGAGGAAAAAAATGAACTTAAATGGTTTTAGCATATGGCTGCAATATAACAAAGAGTGAAAAATTTAAGGGGGTCTGAATACTTTCCGTACCCACTGTATATTTCAGTGTCATATCAATATTTAAATACGTCTCACATCAGACTCTGTTTACATGCGATTTTCAAACTTCACTGTGGTTAAATGAACTGGACGCAGTATGTTCTGGGTCTGTAAGTTCCTGTGGTGGAAAAAAACAGGATGTTCATGGACAGCTGACCATAACAATGTTTTCTGGTCCTTACAAAAAAGAGACATTGTTTCTTTACTGATCTAATAAAGTCATTTGCTCAGGACCTCAGCCATCAGAAGTGGACATGTCCAGAGTGTGGATTGGGGAGTGGTCCTCCTTGGGGCACATCCTGGAGCAGGTTCCTGGCCAGATGCCTGCTGATTGGGTAGTTCTGGGCCAAAGACTCGTCAGTCCACTCCGTTCTAGACAGCAGCTGGTCCATGTGAGGCCCCGGGGCCCGATGTGGAAGTGGGTATGGACTTATAATAAGGTCCCGCTCCACAAGTGAATGTCCTGGGGCTCGATGGGGCCCATCAGGTCCATAAGTTGTATCTGTCAGTATAGTCGTGTCCTGATCCAGCGTGGTCTGCAGTCCCTGGGTCTGCTGGTCCATTGAGTACAACTGCTTCTTATGCACCTGGATATGGTCTTGGTGGTCAAGTCTAGTATGACACAGCTGCTTCTTCTGAATTTGAAGGTGGTCCTGGTGGTCCATCTGGGTATGGTACTGCTGTTTCCTCTGATTCTGAATGTTTTCCTGGTCATGTTGATCCATCTGGGCATGGCACGGCTGTTTCTTCTGGTTCTGGGTGGGGTCTTTGCCCTGTTGGTCCATTTGAGCCTGGTACTGCTGTGGCTGCTGTTTCTTCGGGTTTTGAATTTGGTCTTGTTCCTGGTTCCCCTGAAGGTCCATCTGGGCATGGAACTGCTGCTTCTTTTGGGTCTGTATTTGGTTGTGGACCTGGTTCTTGATGTCTTTCCAGTGTCGCCCTCTGAGGACAGGCTCCAGGTCCAAACATCGCTGACAGACTTCCTTCCCCGGCACGGACTGGAAAAGAACATGGGCTCCCAACTGTCTCCACACCGCTTCCTTCTCTGCGGACGACCACGGGCGACGTCGAACCTTCCTCGGGGTCACGGGCACTGAAAGGCCACAGAATGGTGGATAAGACAAAGCAGGTGTATTAAAGATCAGACTGACCACTACACACTCACCGAACACTTGATTAGGTACACCTGTACATGTGTATGCACTTCAGTGCAGAAGCCTTAACAGTGTAAGTGTGGAAGCCTTATCATCTGTGTTTATGAAGCTCAGTGTTTGAGTTTTTAGTGAAATTATCATAAATGTATAAATTCAATTATATATTTATTACCGAGGTCACAGTTAAAGGTGGTGTTGTACTAGACAACATTATATTCAGAGGTGTCTCTTTGGTTCTGTTCTCCCCACCTACTTACATGAGAGGGTCAGAATATTAGCAACACCTGTGAATATAATACAGTCCAGTACAACACCACCTTTAACTATGACCTCAATAATAAACATAAAATTGAATTTATACATTTCAGAATCAGAATCGGAATCAGCTTTATTGGCCAGGTGTGACGGACACACGAGGAATTTGACTCTGGTACATCAGCTCTCAATGTGCAAACAGTAAACCAGTATAAGGCTGTGTAATATAACAAAAATAAGCAGTATTAACAGCAACATTGACAACAAACAGTACAAACAATGCAGAATAAGCAGTATGAACAGACAGTAAACAATGCAGACAACAAAGGAATGTTTGTTGAAATGAGAGAGATAAAAATACAGTCAGGGCCTGCTTTTGTGGGCAGTTGAAAAGGTAGGTATTCCACTGCTGCCTTGCAGGGGGGAGAGTCATTTAATGAATTAATCATCCACCATTTACTGGTGAAGTGAGATGACACTTTCCTCAGAATAAATGTGCTGAACACTTTTATCTGGTGGGCTATGTGGTAAATTTTGGCATAAAATCATAGCATACTTGACTTTCAGGAATTGATGCTAAATTTTGTTCATCTTGTATCCTGTAATTATAGAATAGGTACCCTGTAGTTAAATATTAATTACTAAATTACTGCTAAATATTAATTATTAAGTTGCTCCCAGTGGAAAGGGCACATATCATACACTTGCAACATAATATTAAAAAACACCCCTATTACTTAGTAACTGCTTACAGTAAATTCAGGCTAGGTTTCTTCCAAATGAAAGCTTGTTGGGTGAATGGTACATATAATAAGCTATATGTGCACCATATAGCTTATTATTATTGGTTCATGCTCGGATGGAGTAAAATTGACTTTGTTTAGAATCAGAATCAGAATCAGCTTTATTGTCCAGGTGTGACAGACACACAAGGAATTTGACTCTGGTACATCGGCTCTCAATGTGCAAAACAGTAAACCAGCATAAGGCTGTGTAATATAACAAAATAGCAGTATTAACATCAACAAACAGTGCAAACAATGCAGAATAAGCAGTATGAACAGACAGTAAACAATGCAGACAACAAAGGAAAAACAAAACAGAGTACTTAAACTAGAGACCTCTATGACTCTGTATAATCTGTACAATGTATATACACAGGTATTGCACTGAGGGTTATTGTCCAATCATATGGTCATTGGTTAAGTGTTTATCAGAGTGAAAGCCTGGGGGAAGAAACTGTCCCTGTGCCTGGTTGTCTTGGTGCACAGTGACCTGTAACACCGTCCAGAGGGGAGGAGTTCAAACAGATTGTGTCCGGGGTCTGAGAGGTCAGCAGTGATCCTCTCTGCCCTCCTTTTGACCCATGCGGTGTACAGGTCCTCCATGGAGGGCAGGCTCACACCAATGACCTTTTCTACAGTCCTGACTGTCTGCTGAAGCCTGTACTTGTCCTGTTTGGTTGCTGAGCCAAACCAGACAGTGATGGAGGTGCAGAGAACAGACTCAATGTTTCCTCTGTAGAACTGTATCAGCAGCTCCTGGGGCAGGTCAAACTTCCTGAGCTGGCACAGGAAGTACATCCTCTGGTGTGCCTTCTTGGTGATGGTCCAGATGTTGCACGTCCACTTCAGGTCCCGGGAGATAGTGGAGCCCAGGAACTTGTAGGACTTTACTGCTGATACAGTGCTGCCAAGTATGGTGAGTTGGGGTAAGGTGGGAGGGCTCTTCCTGTAGTCCACTGTCATCTCCACTGTTTTGAGCGTGTTCAGCTCCAGGTTGTTGCGGCTACACCACAGGACCAGCTGCTCAACCTCCCGTCTGTAGGCTGACTCCTCACCAACTCGGAA